AAGTCCGCAGACATGCCGCTGTGCCACTGGGGGGTCCAAAGAGAGAGAGGCAGTAATTTTATTTTAATCTTATGTTGGATTTCGTAAAATATAATCAAAACAAAATGTTACATATCAGCATTTACACATACTACATAATTTAGTACGTTGGGTTTAGAATCTAACCGGCTGTTTATCAATCTTTCTAACATACAAGTATTTTTCTCACCGTCACAACTGTATATTCCATAGTGCTTCCCCGAGCTACAGTCCCCACAGACACGGCAGGGGATGTCCAGAAGGCGGTCTCCTGAAATGTTATTGGATAGTGAAATCTGAATAACATCCAATCATGAAAAACATTCGAGAAATGTATAAAAGAAAACTCTGATTTCTCTGTGTGCGAGTTTTTTGGAAAGCTTGAGTTTCTTGTTGAAACAGATCTAAATATTTAAGGGGAAAACTTAAGTCAATTTCAAGAATATACGTAAGTTTTCAAAATATTAAGTTTAAAATTTATAGCAAAGATTATCAGGACTTATATTTCAGAAACTTAATATTCAAAACAACAACAACAAAATAGTTTTATAGATTAAATACGACTACTTTGTTTACTAATAATTTCAATTATAATAATATTAACAACTGATTATCGCATTTAGAAAACAGTTGTTAAAAACGTAGGTATGGAAACAATAATTTTTATAAGTGCTATTAGTACGTTGTCCTTTGTTTAGATATGAATATCACACTTTTTAAAATATACAAAACTTATCAAAAGTTTCAAAAATTAGAAAAATAAAATAATGTTAAGAACAAAATGATAAAAGTAAACATGACAGGAAGATAATGGTAGACATTCAAATAAAAGAAAAGTTAAGAAGCAAGAATGAATGATAAATATATACAAAATATGTAGGAAAGGCAAACGAAAAAGGAAAATTTAAGTAAAAATACAAATACAGAAATAGATTTTTTTTAAAGTAAATTCAAGTCAATAAAATATCAGTGAGTTTAGCGCAAAGCTGCACAACGGGCTATCTGTTATGTATATACCGCGGATATCGAAGCACGAATTTTACATTATAAGCCCAAAAACTATATTTTTAAGATTATTTGTTTGTTGTGAAGCGAAAGCTATACAATGGGCTCTCGTGTTATGCCCACGCGATTTTTAGCGTTATATATCTTCAGAGTTCCCACGGAACCACCGGAGGGGGGGATATTTTCACGAAGCATAATTTCTGTTTTCACCCACATTAATGAAACATGTTTATTTTAAAGTTAAATTGTTGTTGTTTGTTATTAAGCACAAAGGGCTATCTGTGTTTTGCCCACTACGAGTATCGAAACCCGGTTTCTAACAGTATAAGTCCGCAGACATACCGCTGTGCCACTGGGTTGCTAAAGTTAAATGAACCATTGCTTTTAACAACCGAAGCAATAATTTCGTCAACAAAAGGTAGGACAACTGTAGCATGGGGAGAAAACCTTCGTTAGCAAGAGATAGTTGCAGACACACGTGATAACTAGAGGAAATCCTCAGTAGCCGCTGCTGTAATTAGATCTCAAATCAGTCAAGAGATGGAGCTATGAGCTAAAAGTTTGTACTTGATAAAAAAACAAACAAACTCAGAGCCATTCTATAAGTTATGCCGCGGCTGAAAACATACAAATTTGAGAGCATCGAATAAGTCGAGCGTATTAGAGCCCAACGTAAGTGAATATAACATATTCATACATTCAAATTATTTTAATGTTTTAGTTAAGGCCAAATAACGAACAAATTCTCAGTATAAAAGTAAGATTACACATTCGTAAGCAGATGCCATAACTTATTCAAGACAAATTGCTGCCCATGTTAAAAGTCAGAGAAATTAAGTACAAATGAAATAGCCAAATCTTAAGACGTTTTCTTATTTAGAACGTAAGTCCAATCAAAGCTTCTATTTTCTATCTGACCATTGTTGTTGTTTTAGTGATTATTTTTGGATGCTGATGAATCAATAAATAGAGACATCATTGCGAAAAACCTACCTCACTCGTGTATAATTTAACTTGTTTTGTGTTAATATCTATATAGTTTCTATTCATTTGCCCTAATTAATATGCTTGGATGGCTTTAGGAACTATATAGAAGACTTGTCGATTTCCAGGTAAGAAGGAACATGTGTTGGAATGGCGATCAGTTTCAGTTTTCAGATTATCTGCTTTAAAATCACCTTAGAAATGCATAGAATTCAGTTCATTTTTCTTCTCAGAATACGAATTGCTTAATTCTATTAGCTCAAGATGTAAAATTCTTATAGAAAAGTCTTCTATACAAGACATACAGTATAGCATCTGTACAGAAATTCTGCATGAATGAAATGGCTTCAATTTATCCAAAGAGTTGTTGAGTCAGAGAGTCAGAGCTTTCCATAGTGGTGGATGTCATACTTCTGTATCGTAAGTTGAATTATAACTCTAAGAACCTATGAGTGAAAGCAAAGGTGAAAACGTTATAATATGCCTACTACACTATATCTGTCACATCCAGTGGCCAGAGGCCTCTCACCCGAGGCTCATCAGGCTGACTGTGATACGACAGACACAGTATTGGTCTAGGCGCTTCATACATATATATATATCATCATTTTTTCATAAATAACTGTCATATGTGAATCAGATCATGCAATTGAATTGTAATTAATATCAATTTTATTTACGTCATTTACAAGTCAGATACTTTAATTAAGAATTTATAACATAATATAATATACTTTATTTTTAATACTGTTTATTTATTTCATTACGGTTGTACCTTAGTCATAACTGCCATTTATATAAAAATACATAGAAGAAAATTGGTTAGCTTTGCTTCAGGAGCTAATGGTCATATAGCCAAGAGCTTCTGACACAAGATTTAATTTAACATTGGAGTATTAATTCGGACTACTTGAAAGGAGTTTATAAGAATGTGCTAAAAGTTATTGGACCACTGAAAGTGTAAAAGTTGAAAGTTGACTTTGCCACCAAAAAAACAAACAAAAAACCCAAAATAATCACTACTCGGCCCATACAAACTTTCAAAACGTTTGCAAAAATAAACTGCGCATTTGTATTTAAATTCGTCATCTAGGACTTTAATAATTATTCAGACTTGCAGGTTACTAATTTAATGTTCAAAAGAGCTGCATGTTCTTTGAGTTCGATGGTCTACAGTAAATAAGTCGCTTATCATTGATGCGAATCTGTGATAGTCCTAGCTATCAAACCTTGTGTTCTATAATACTACTTTCTAGAAAGGTTATTTCAATATTTCCAGATTTTAGTATCTGTAATTAACACTTCAATTATGATCATTGTAAACCTATACCTTCATAGTACTATATGCTTCCATGGACCTTTTGCTATAGGCTATCTATGAATTCACGTGGTACTGTTTGACAACATTGTTGTGGAGGTTCACTTTTTATATCCTTATCTTGACTTTATCATTGGAAATAAAAAAGGTAAATTCATAAGATTTTATGTAATTGACGGAAACCAGAGCAACATCTGTTTTTCTCTTTACTTTAGCCCTCCCAGTGGCACAGCGGAATGTTTGTGGACTTACAACGCTAGAAATCGGACTTCGATACTCGTGGTGAGCAGAGCACCGATAGCCCATTGTGTAACTTTGTGCTTAACTTCAAACAATTCTTTACTTTAACATTTTGCTTTTCGTTGTACTCTCAGTTTTCTGCTACCCAAGTCACTGCACAGTTAACTCATAATTGTGTTTTACTTATCACACTGTAAAATTCGTTCTCACTCTTTACTAGTGGTAATAATACAAAATTAACTCCCTCTTTGTACCTTTTCAGCCCGTATGATAAAATTAAGTTTTAGTTTTGTTTTTCTAGTAACACTAAGTGCTGTCTTATAGATATTTATTTCGAAAGTATAGTTAAAACGTGTGAAATGGTATATTAAGTGTTTAAGTAATCAATAATAATAACTGTCAAAAAAGTATAAATCTTTTTTGTATGTGTCCATGGAGTCATAGCGTACAGTCGTTTTCGTCACTTTCATTACACCAGGCATTTGTATATTTACTTCGCACACCGACACTTCTTCAAGTAAACGCTCAGTCTTTTCCTAACAAACTTTTTGTTAGCCACTTGTAAGCTGGAACCGAGCACTTAGTTGTCAACTTAGAGAATATTTTGGAAAAGTTTATGGTTTGGCAGCCATTTCAAGTTTTCCGTCTTAATAATAGCAATGCGAACTCCAGTCAGCGATGAGGTCCGTAGCGAAATATGTGACGCCAACCCCAAATGAAACTGACTTTTAATTCCGTGCATAAACACAGGTGCTTTTGCATTAAACAAATTGTTCGTGCACTACAGCTCAAAGGTAGTAGGGGGGCGGCCCACACCCCTATTTATAGCAATATTTTTAAGCCCTTTGCTTTTAATGAATAAAAGTCATGAACTATGTTTACAAAACCGACCTATGAATTTAGTAGGTTATATTTAATGAAATGTAATTTTATAATTAAAAAACAACAACTATTTTAATTGGGTGAACCAAAACAAAAATAAAACCTAAAAATACTTCTAGAAATTTTCCAAAAAGTCACAGCAAAGAATTATAATATAAAAATGTTACTAGATGGAATTGAACTAAGGTTAAAATGTTTTTGTTTGAGTCTGGGAATATTAACTTATATTTTTCAGATTATATGAACAGTAAGAATTAACTTAAAGACAAATATCTCCTAAAGATCCTACAATTTTTTTTAAGTAGTCATAAGTACAATTTTTTAGAAAATTCTCATTTGTTTCAACCATCATTTTCTTTTTAAGTAGTCATAAGTACAATGTTTTAGAAAATTCTCATTTGTTTTAACCATCATTTTCTTTTAAAGTAGTCATAAGTACAATTTTTTAGAAAATTCTCATTTGTTTCAACCATCATTTTTACACAACATTTTTATTTACACCCAGCAACATATTTTCTAGGTGGTTGTTATTAGATCTAAATAAGTATTGTTTAAATAACTACATATTCTATGAATACCTAGAAATCTACTAGGACTTTTTTTGTACGTTAGATGAATTATTTCTATTTTCCATTATGGTAGAAGTAAATGCGGAACTTGTAAGAATATTTTAAATGAGATAAAAGAAGTGTAGGACTTAAAAATATTGTTTTATTCTATACTATATTTAAATTCAGTTTCATCACGTAAACATCTTTATACTTGTATTTTGTGATCTTTAAGAAGACTGAGAAAAATCACATTTTCACAAACTTCCAATTTCGGATCACATCAGGTAAAAA